GCTGTATCAGCAATGTTCCTGCTGGAAATTCCGTTTCCAGGAAGAAATCAGGAACATCCTTGTGTAATAAAATTGTAAAAAGCGTATGAAAAAAGCATAAAAAACAAATAAAACCTATTGAAAACTATTTCTCTTAATCAGCAATGTTCCTAGTGGGGAATTACAGGAATCAGGAACATCCCTGTGTAGTTTGCAATTCGCATAGAATTATAGAATTATTTTGCTGTTGCTGGTAAATCCCTTTGCAGGAAGGAATCAGGAGCGTCCTTGTAAAATAAAATTGTAAAATTGAAAAAACGCAAATAAAACTTGTTTGAAACTATTTCGCTGTACGAGGTTTTTTTCCCTGCTGGAAAATCCGTTTGCAGGAATCAGCGCCATTTGCGATTCGTAAACAATTATAAAAAGCGTAAAGCAGCCTCGTGATGGCGTAATTCTTGTGTAGTGGTGGTGTGTGTATACTCTAGGTTCCGTCTGGGTGGGCGGGACGGGGAACCGTCGGCCCAGCAGAGAACATTGACCAGGAAACAACGTGCTAACCTTCAACCGGCACTGTCCTTGTATCGCGAAAATAGACCTATTGCAACCGCAGCCAAATGCAACGACCAACTGCACTACTCGCTCCGCCCCTCTTCTACACCCAAAAAGCAATTAGACCGTCTACAGCTGACTGTCGATAAGAAAATAAATGTGAAACTAATTAGGTCTACTAGACGATAGGACAAAGTCATTAGTCTAGTTATTGTAACCCTGCGACCTATCGAGCTCAACCAACAACACTTTTATCAATTCGGTATCGATTCGGATTTGTGGAGATGCTTTAAACTAGAACTTCAACTTGACTTAATAGAGGAAATTGTTTTAAGCAGGAAATGTCATTTTAGGGTTATCAAATCTCAAGAGAATAATTGACAAATAACTTGGCTTCCTTTCCGCCATTGTTTTCACATTTCAGTCGCCGCAAGTGTCTAGGTTATCAAATTTTGTCCTTTTGTTTTTCCAAAAAGAAAAGTGACGAAATTAGAGGGCGGCAGCCAGACATCCCACGTGGGTTACCTGACTTCTCGCGACAATGTCACAGGGACAACGACACGAGGGAACCCTGGTTAAACAAACAAGTGCAAAAACCACATCGTAAAATTATACCAAAAACTCGTAAAACCACCACAATTAACCCAAGCAAGGGTAAACAGTTAGTTGAGTAGCTCAACGAGCGAAAAAATCAAACGATTTTCTATCATGGTGAAAACTAACTTTCATTTAGAGAGTTATTAAAGGCAATCATTTTACTATTATTGCACGTATGTGTGGTATCGATATTGTTTCTAGTGTGAAAACTACTCATTTTAAAGCGTTTTCCAATTTAGAGAAAGATCTAGCACATTTTTTTAATCAAAGCTTAGTTTTGGATGTGTCAACAAAAGCCCACTTTAACCCAGTGATACACATTTCCAATTAAATCGCATCTTATCATTCGATAAAAAAGTTTTATTTGCTTGTGTATTTTTTTCATCTGATTAGAAAAATCCATATTTTTTTATTTACTGAGATAATGATATCGCGATTAAGTACTTCCTCAAGATGCCGATAAGGAATAAAAAAACTTTGCAAACAAATATCATCAAGCATTTTTCCCCTCTTCTGACCACTTTCTACTTTCTACAACTGCTGAATATGAATAGACATGGAATTACTGTTCCTTTATTACTAGTTTCCTGAAAAACGCCCTATTTTGTAAGATTCAGTCCACTTCCTCTTGGTTTTCTCCACACGAAAACAAGAGCGATAACGTCACAAGCATTTAATCGATTCAAGAGCAGGAAATGAACTACAATAAACAATTGGTT